CTGTTTTCAGACTCGGAAGCTAAATGTCTCCGAAGCGGCTGACCATTCGACTTAATTTTCACACGTTTTTATACTCTCGCAACTTGTTGCTACAGAGTATAATGTTTTGTTCACCTAACGGTTGTTTGTATCACTAAAATAATCGAGTTAGATATAGGGTTATATATATATAAATGATCGAATGAAGAGACGAGTTGAAATCGCGTGACTGTTGTCGTCCGTCCGTGTCGTGAAGCTCTAAATTGAGTAAAATTGAGATATCTTTATGAAACTTGGTAGACATGTTTCTGGTACCGTGAGACGGTTGTGATTGCAGATGGGCAAAATCGGACCACTGCCACGCCACAAAACGTCCTTATCAAAACAATAAATTGCATAATTAAGCTCCACAACAAGATACAAGACTGCAATTTGGTACACAGATCAAATTAGGGAGGGCACCTGAAATTTTTTTAAAAGTGGGCGTGGTCCCTCCCTAATTAGGTTTAATGTGCCAATGCTTCTCGCTAAAACACGCAAATGGTTGTAATCACCTCTATCTGAAGTGTGAAAATGGGTGAAATTGGGTGACAACCCCGCCCACTCCCTGGAGATCGGCTACGGATCACGGGTTTCAAAAATTTGTGTATATAAATCGCCGATTAATAAAGTAAAATAAATTCTATAAATGTTTTTTGTTTATTTAGTAAATTATAAAAATGGCTCTTTAAAAAAGGTTTACATTTAATATAACCCCACTTTAGGACAAGTAAGGATGCTATCGAAATCCAAATGACTATCACAGGTGTATATTTTTGCTTAAAGAATATACTGTTAGTTTGGCATTGTCTTCAGATTGCTTTAAGCTATTGGAGGTCCTAATTTAGACTTCCATACTAAGCCTTTCAAAGGATTCATTTCAGATTTTTCGTTGTTTAATATATAATTGGCTTTGTCAAATATTTTTAATTTGCTCCGTTTCAATTTCTTTTCGATTTTAGTTTTCTGTTTTTCTTTATTTCACATTCTGTCCCTGCATTAAGGTAGAAAAATTTGTGTCCGAGGCAACATTGTGGGTAATGAAGATCTTTGATGAAAAGAGTGCAGAAGAATTGAAGTTGTCTTCTGTGATAAAAGGGCTAATGAAAGATATTAAAAGATAATTGGCTCTTAGGAAGAACATTAACCTCATCTTTTGAATAGAGATCCTTTCAATCTAAATATATTATTATTACAGATGCACATTTAAAAACGTCCATGTATAGCTAGGGATGCATTGGGGTTGAGATTTGCAACTTCATAGTATAAATTGGAAGATTCTGTTAGTATTAGACAGACAGGCGGGAGCAACGCATTATTCTTATAATTTTTTTCCTCTCTTTATTCTTGCTTCCTCTTATCCGGTTATTTAACTTCGTTAACTTCTTAGCGTATTCATAATGGTGCGGGTCATCTCGTACTTAACGGCACAAATGCGGTAATTGAGAGATAAGCAACAAAAGGAGAAGAATATTGAAAAGAAACAGCAACAACAGTAATAGCGATAACTAAACTGCGAAGTCACGTCAGAAGCAACTCGAACGCGTCTAACAAAGTAATTAACGTAATACAAATACGGGTTGGACAAGTTCTCGCAAAAGCAGATGCAGAAGAGCTAAATTAGCTAAATGAATGAGCGAATGAACGATTGACTGAATGAGCAAGTTAAATTTGTGACAAAGTGATTGCTGTCAAAGCAATGTTTAAGCAAAGCTGAAGCAACGGAGATAATGCAACTTGAATATAAAATGCACACACACACACAAAGACATACATTTTATTTATTGCGTATATGGCATATGTGTGTATATATAGTACGTGCATGATTATAACGGTCGCGCAATCTCTTCAGCTCCTAATGAAGACATTTCCAAGAAAATATGCATGCAAAATGCCAGCTAATATTTTATCTAATTCATGTAGCTTAGACATGCGACGCACGGAACAATTCAATATGACCTGGCAGCGCGAACTGAGAGGAATTTCGGTAGGCACTTTTGACCGACAGTTGACATTGAAAAGTTGAGGTCAACCAGGTTGGGTATTTCTGCGTTGCACTAATGCATTATCAGGCGAGTGCGGGCGACCTGTAGCGGTAGTGCATAGCTGTCATGCCATTGTTGCTGCAGCGCCACTCACACCGCGCACACACATTCCAACACAATATAATACTTTGTTGAAGATGCGTTGCATGCAACATTAGTTCATTATCGCCAGCAATTTATATCGTGCCGCGGAGTGGTTGCGCATGCGCGCACACGTAAATGTCAGCTCACACATTATTTATGCATGTGTATGTGTGTGTGAATGCATGTGGCTGTAGTTGGCATTCTCAGGTGAACGAAAGTTGCACTCGAGCGGCAGCAATTGTCGTTCCCGGAACACCCGCATGTGTGCACCGCCGTCGTTGCTCCTGCCGAGGTCATACCCTTGCAACTAATTGCCTGTGCACGCAAACACTCGGATGCGCGCCACATCTTTATACGCATGCGCGCATCGCTGGCATATCTGCCAAGCAGTGGCTGCTTCTTCTTAGCTGCCGCTAATTTATTTTCAAATTTATCTCATTGCGCGCTCCATTGGAAGTGTTTGTGGACACAGCAATTTACGTGGGTTGGGCGTTAAGTGATTGGTTGGCCGATATGATGGGAGCAGCAACAGCACGTCGATGTTGTTGTTGTTATTGCCACAGCTAATTCAAGTTTTGTTCCTCATGCGTGTGTGTATATGGTTTTCATATTTTTAGAGCTTATCGCGTAGATCGTTAAAGCAATCAGCGTCGGTGACAGTTGCGTCAACTCCTCGAAAATTTCTGATTTGCTCTCTGTTAGTAGTACCGTAATTTTTCCAATGAGCTACTCTTTTGTGTATTGTCGAAATGCCATTTCTCATAATTATTTTTTTAATTATAATTTTCGGTTTTTTAAGAGAACAAATCGATATCGCGGTGCATTCGTTGTCTCGCAGAAAAATAATATTTGCTTGAAGAGTAATGTTAACATTTAAGAGTGTTTCGGTGAGAGTGTGTATCAAAAGTAATTTAAAATTCATGAATTGTTGTTGACCCTCAAGTGATAGAATATCAAAAATTTTGATTGATTGAACATGTCAGATAATGAAAGTTTTAGAGCTTTATTTAGGCTTTCATATATCACACAGAGGGCGCTGCGAACGCTTACGTTTGAAATTACTTCTAAATATCGGCAATCGAAGTTCGAAAGAATATAATTCGTTGAAAACTAATCTGTTTTGTAACCAGTATGTTTCCAAGTAGAATAAGCAAATAATTGATCCGGAAACTTGTTTAAATATATTTACTAAAAGCTTACATAAAGCTTACATGTACAGGATATTTGCGATTTTTGGGCCTGATATATCACAATTGTATTTCGTTTATAGGCCCCAATTTTTACATCTGATAAATTTACTCATTCAAATTGCGCGCGCAAACCGAATCGTGCACTTTTTTTTGATAAATTGGTACAATCTTTTCTATCTACTTTTATATAAAGGTATATCCCCTATTCAATTATTGTGTAATTGGCGTGTACATGAGATACATATGTATCTCAAATTTACATTACAAGTGTAAGTGTGACATATTACCGCCTGCAAATAATATTTCTTTATACACGAAGTAACGCAAGAGTCGACCGCCCAACGAGCCAGTCCGCCTATGCTAAGCGCAACTGGTTCATGTTTTTCAAGAGCATGCGAATTTGCCACCAAAAGGTTACGCTTTAAGCTTTCTGAGTAAATGTTTAATCGTTTCTTTTAGAAGCTAAAGTGCGATCAGAAACGCGCGCGAATGCAATTA